GACAGTGGCATCCCCTTACACCTGTAGTCTGTGGCAAGTTTCTGACACAAAGAGAAAAAAAAAAAACTTCAAAAATTCAAACTTCAGAAAGGTATAAAATATCCCATGAGTCCTTGCAAACACTGCACTGCATGGTGTTAAGAGAAAAGTAAAAGACGGCAGCCTGTAGATTTGACAGGAAAGCAGCTGTTAATAAAGTTAAAGCTGTTAAATGTTAAAACTACAAAGGCCTTCCTTCCTTCCTTTCTTTTCTCTCCTCTTTTTCCTTTCCTTCACCTCGTCTCGTCTCCTCCTCATCCCTCCCCCTTTCCTCTCCTGCCTACCTTCAGAAAGAGCTTGAAGTCCGGCTCGTTGTCCGTGCGGTTCTGGAGCAGAGTGGCACCGTTGATCTGACAGGAGCAGAACCTGATGTAAGGCTGCATGTGGGACAGTTCTGCTGCCAGGATGTCTCCGACCTTTTGGACGGGCATGTTCTCACCTGCAGCCTTCTTACAGGCACGCAGTGCCCTGCAAACATAGAACACGGAACATGTTTACAGTAAATCCAGAGCTGAGGCGTCTGGAGATCACAGACACCGATACACATGTTGGTCAGAAGAAGTTCTCCGTTGCCCTGGTCACATGGACTCTATGGACATCACTGACATCACTGACATCACTGACCACACATTGAGAAGTTTTGTGTTACAGGACGGTAGTTCTTTCCAGTTGACAAATATCATGGACATCTCAGCCTCACTCAGCCGGCCGGACTCTGACATTGGTCTATAGAACACCTGAAGACAAACACGTGTGTGTCATGGAGCACACTGGAACACCTGTGTTCTGTCACAGTGACTGCAGTGTGGTGGCCTCACCTCCAGGACCACGTTCAAATCTTCTACATATCGTTCCTCCGTCTCCATCAGCTCATTGATGTAACCCTGTCTCTTCTTCTCCAGAGTACTCAAAGACTCGGCACCACCTGCAGCCAAGACAGGACATCAGGACTGTTCTTATGACACACACACACACACACACACACACACACACACAATCACTCGGTGTACCTCTGCTTTCAGCATCTCTGTCATCCCACAAGTTTAAAAAGTGAAAGTTGCTCCATAAAGTCATTGCTCCGTCCCTGTGTCTCTGTCTACTTTACCCTCCGTCTCTGTGTCTCTGTGTCCTGCTCTCACTCACATGTCTACAGTCTGACTAAAGCTCCACTGACACTAATCTGTTTGGGCCAAAACATTAAGAGGTCGTCTCCTTCCTCCTCACTGGGCCGCAGGTCAACAGTTCACTCATCTATAGTTTCTGTCTGGAAATCAACCAGAAATAATGATGTTTAAACCATAATGATGTTCAGATGGAAGCCAATAATAGACAGAAGCCCAGAGAGACATGTTCATCATCAGCTGCTGATGCCACATGATAATGAGGCAGTGCACAGCTAACACACAAAGCCATCATGAGCCTGGAGCTGGGTCCTGGTTTGTCTTTTCTCCTCTAAATGCCTCTAAAATCTTAGTCCAGACTTTTGTACACAGCCTGT